AAGCACTTCAACACTTCGATATACCGACAGTCAACTTGGCACCGCTGAAGGGACTGCAGCACCGCCCAAATTTCGACGGAATCAAAGGCTTTCTCATAGTCCACATACGCCAGACATAGTGGCAAATTGTACTCTTCGGACTTCTGTACAACTTGCCGAAGGGTATGTATGTGGTCTATGGTGCTAAAGCCCTTTCGGAAACCGGCTTGTTCGGGAGGCTGGAAGTCGTCAAGTCTGCGCGCGAGACGATTCGTAATGACTCTCGAAAACAGCACGTAGACGCGGCTCAGAAGGGAAATCGGTCTGTAGTTCTTCAAGAGAGCGTTGTCACCTTTCTTGAAGAACAAGACCACCGCACTTCTGCTCCACGCCTCCGGTGTAATGCCACCATGGAGGACGGAATTAAAGAGCTTCTGAAGGACTTCAAGTACCGGTCTTCCACCCGCTTTCAGAAGCTCCGCTGTAATTCCATCCTCGCCTGGGGCCTTACCGTTTTTAAGGTGCTGGAGAGCCATCCTAATCTCGCTCAGACGGACATCCGGGATATCTTCGGAATAGTGTCGGATGAGACTCGCTCTTGGATCGTTACTCACACTTGCGTGTGGCTCCAACGATGATGTGTACAGCTGCCCATAGAACCTCTCAATCTCACTCAAAATCTCAGGTGTCCCGGAAACGATGCTGCCACACTCTGTCTTCAGCTTTGACAGTTGGCTCTTTCTGGCAGACAGATCTCTGGCAAAGACTTTGGAGCCTTGGTTCCGCTCGATCGCTTCTTCAATACGAGCTGTATTGAAGTTGCGTAAGTCCCGCCGCGTGCATTTGGAGATCTGTCTGTTCAGATGCCTGTATGCTGTCAAGTCTGTTGAAGAATGAAGCTTCATCTCCCGTCTAACAGCCATGAGATTAAGAGTGTGATCGGAGAGTTTTTGTGTTCTTCTGCGGCGGGTTTTGCAGAACTTAGCTCCAACCGCATGGACAGTTTCCACGAGCTTGTCATTCATATCGTCCACTTCATTGCAGTCTTCCAGGCACTGAAAACGGTTTTGTAACTCGAGCTGAAAGGTTTCGGGACTTTGGAACAGAGCACGAGGGGGACGGAGCGTTGACTTCATTAGACGAGACCTCTCCAACTTAACGTTTAGGTTCAGTGTGCCTCTAACCATTCGGTGATCGCTACCAGTTTTCACCCTCGCGATCACGGAGACATCACTGAACAGTTGTCGTCTGGTCGTCATAATGAAGTCAATCTCATTTTTTGTGGAACCGTCGGGGCTCGACCAGGTCCACTTCCTGTGGGGCCGCTTCTGGAAGAAAGAGTTCATCATAAAGAGTCCCTCTTTCTCCATGAAGTCGGCCAGCTGCTGGCCCCTTGGGTTCCGTTGCCCTATTCCAAATTTCCCTACTTTCAGCTCACCGTTCTCTCTTGTGCCTAGTTTTGCATTGAAGTCTCCCATTAACACCGTATATTGGGTTTTGGAGGAATGCATGGCTCTAGAGATATCCTCATACATTTCCTCCACCTCCTCATCAGGGTGTGCCGAGGTTGGTGCGTAAACCTGTATGACCTTCAGCGAATACCGTTTGGTGATTCTGAGTATAAGGTACGCAACCCTCGTCGACACACTCCCGATCTTTACAACGTTGTTAACGAGAGACTTGTGGACGATAAATCCGACACCTCCTTGGGACAGATGGTCGCCCTCCCGGTGATAGAGCAAGTTGCCGGATTCGAGGATTACCGTGTCCTCCCCCTCTCTTCGGACTTCGGATAATCCTATAATATGCCAGCGCAACTTGTCTATCTCTTCTTCCAGCTCCACGATCTTCTCGTCAGTCCTCAGGGTGCGTGCGTTGTACGTTGCCAGGTCGAGTCGTCTAAGGTGGCAACCGAACCTCCACCGGAGATTCTTAACCAAACAAAAAACCAAACTTACCATACCATATCCTTCATAAAATTATTTTATTAAAGTTGATCGGACTTATATGGGTAATTTTTTCCTTTAATTTTAGTTATTTCTAGATCTACAGACACATTATTTAGAACTAGCTGCTCCCCGCGACTTAGCCCGCGTGTAATTTAATTATTAATAATTTTTTTGCGCGGAACCCTAATTCTTTTTCCGGAATAAAAGTTAAGCCTGAGTTACTCCTTATAACATCAGCTACCTGCCAGTGAAAGTCCCGTCAAAATCGGTCCAGCCATTTTAGAGATTAGCCGAAACAAACAGAACGACAGACAGAAGACTGACAAAAATTTTTAAAATTGTGTTTTTTACTTTAATATTCATTTAAAAAGCTGTTATTTTGACATTACAAACAGGCACTTCAAGTTTATTTATTTGTGTAGATATAGATGTTAGGCAGACTGTATCCTCAAGCCCTAGCTTTTTTTTTATTTATTTATGTACACACAACAAGATACAGAAACAGTTTTATGGTGAGTTTGTACAAAGGTTCTACTTATTCCATAATTTGCTGAAATATCTTCCAGTTGACCCACAAAGGAAAATATATTTAAAAAGGCAAACTTAGTGCGTACAATACTAATACTACTTACTGTAAATAATATACAAAAACATACCTTCTCTCATATTCATTGTTTAATTTTGGCAGATTGTAAGGTAAGGTAAGTATACAATGTGCCAAAATGTAACAATGGATATGGGAGAATAGTTTTCTTATGTTTGACCCTATGGTGTTTACATGGGTGTCATTTCGTCATGTTGTAATGGGTTCTTTTACAAAACTAGCACACTGAGTAATTCTGCATTACTGCTATACTTAATAACATTATTTCTTCACGCAAGGACAGAGTGTGAAATCTTAACTCCTACATCTTTTTGTTCATCACATCTCACTCTTACTGAACTAGAATTTTTTACATTGAAAGAGTTTACCGTCATCTTTGAGAGGAGAACCTCTTTAGACTTCTTCATATGCTGGTTTCTGTCTTCGGTGGGTTGTTTTGTAAAGTAATTTACAGTCCATCGATGGTCCGTTGACACCGCAGCCCCGCCTGCAGCCATCTCCCTTTTATTATATTTTTATAGGATAAATGTGATGATGATAAATTGTGTTGTATTAAGAATCAAAATGCAGATGCGTTGTCGTCACCTCTGAGAACCAAAGTGGAATGCTTCACGGCCTGTACATATACTGACTGGTCAGGAACACAGTATGATACAAAAAAATATAGTGATTATCACTATATTTTTTCTATTCATGTTTGTATTTCTTTGTACGTGCTTGTAGCGCAAATGGATCGGCTCGACCGGGGAAGGACTACGCTTTCACAGAATACCAGCATAATGCTGCTTTTCGTATTCGTATGGTATGGTAGGTAAGAGAACCGGAGACCCTTTTGATTTATATTAGTCCTCAGTGGTGACAACGCATCTGCATTTTGATTCTTAATCGAGGATAGATGTTGATGTTTATCAACCACAGCATCCATTTACCATCTGGATGACTGTGTGCTCGTTTGCACCCTTATTCTATAATAAAAATACTTTTAGTTTATTCTAATATTTATATATGAATAGAAAAAACATAAGTATTTTGTGCAACAGTAGTAAATTAAGCGTATTATATTAAAATCAATACTGAACGATAATTTTAATTTTTATGCTCCGTTGCGAATCATTACATCTTGTTAAGAAATAAATAGAACGAATGTAAAATATAAATAATTCAGTGAGAATCTTACTGTCATCTCACGTATTCTAGCAATTAGAAAAGTAGAAGGGCTAGCTGTTGGTAGAGGACCACGCTCTCACAGAATACCAGCTTAAAATAGCAATTCAACGCCTTTTTTTTTGTTAAGAAAAAAGGGTAACAAACGAGCACACTTTCCACCTCATGGATAGTGGATGCTGTGGCCCATAGACATCTACATCCATTCTCTATTAATAATCAAAATGCAGATGCATTGTCACCCTTGAGGACTAAGATGGAATGCCTCGTTTCCAATAAAAAAGATCTCCGGTTCTCTACATCTACACTCGTAAGCTCGTAAACTGTAGTTACGTAGTACTTACTATTATTTATTGTGTCTACTGCTAGAAACACAACAAAAAAAGGAAAGAGACAAAAGAGTGTTTTATAAATCCGTTTATTACCTTACAAAATGAAGGTGGAATAACAATTTTTCACACAATTTATAACTGTCTAAAATTAAAATAAATTCAGTCGATGCGTGCGCGTCTTAGCGTCTACCTAGAATTACAAGAGTAATATGATATACATTGCTTTGTCATTGGAGATCTTTCTTACAACTTCTATTAGTCTATAGTACAATGTTTATTCTTTCATAAATACATAATACTTGTGTTGAATATACAATATCATGAATATTACTAAATTCTTAATATTATGTTTGTCAATATTGACGTATCTATCAAAACAATTTAACTTTTATACATTTATACATAAATACTCTACAGGCTTAACCCCTAACCCCCTACTTTCACTCTGCAACTGGACGTTTCTTATGCCACATCAAATATGTACCTACACAATAGTTTTGTATCCGAATGTCATCGAGTAGAGAATATCCGAATGCAAGAATTGATACACATGATGCGTTATTTTTCAACAATTTCATGTACTAAGAATAACAAAGCACTTTAACTTAACCTAAACAGCAAGATTAACTTAATTTATTGCATTAAATGAAGGAAGCAATTACGATAATAATAAAACTGGGACAACAGTCAAGTAGTAATGTTACCGAGGTCGTGCTATAATAAACAGTCTGTGGTAAAGATGAACCGGATCCTGGTTCTGCCGAAATCTTAAAAAAATCCGGATCCGTATCGGATTGATATCTAGTCTATGGTGAGTGATCAGATCAGTGGAGTGTGTTCGTGTCAGAGCGGGGCTGGGTTTTGGGGCGCGGGGCTGTGGGGCGTGGGGGGTGTGGTGGAGAGCGCGGCCGCGTAGTGCGCGTAGCTGGCGTAGAGCGGGTAGAGCCAGCGGTAGAGCGCGGCGCGGCGTTCTCAGGAGGGCCGGCGCTCGTCTGGCGCGTCAGCTTCAGCGTCGTCGCTACTGCTGGAGCTGCCGGCGCCGCGCGCCCACAGGCTGGCGTAGCTCTGCTGCTCCGCGATCAGCGCCTCCTCCGCCGCGATCACCGCCTCGAACAGCGTCCGCTTGATCTTGATCTGCGTGGGGTACGGGAAGCGCTTCGTGGACTGGCACATACTGTTGAAGAAGATGTCGAGCGGGTCGGGCGGCGGGCGGCCGCGCTCGTGCAGGTGCGCCTCCGTGAACTGCCGCTTGCTCTGCGCCTTGCACAGGTAGTCCAGCTTACGGTCGATCACGGCCAGCCGCTCGAAGCCCTTCCGCTTCGGCGACGACTCGGGCTCCGACTCGGAGTCGGAGGAGGAGTGCGCGTCGCCGCCGTTGTGCGCGGTCTCCGGCTGCGTGTCGGCCTGCGCTGACGCGTACGCCGACTCGATCGGCTTCTTGCGGATGCTCATGTGCGGCTGGAGGAACTGCATCAGCCCCATGTACTTCCACGGGTAGTTCTTCTTCGCCGGGTTGCTCGGGTCCTTAGCCAGCATTTCGCTCTGACGCTTGAGCGCGTCCCTGTAGCTGTCACGTAGTTTTTTCCATTTCAGCTTCACTTCTTTTACTGTGGACAATATTAACAAATTACCATCGCGTGTGATACATATTATGCAAACTTCACCAATAGGTTCACTCTTTCTGCCCAGCAATCCGTTTTGGTAGGTACACACTCTTACCTTTCTGCCACCAAAAAGCAGTGCCCCATGTGCCGCCACCCATACAGGTGTATCGGGTTCCTTAACTGCTTCTATGGTCTTAAGCGCGACTGCCGATCATGAGGTCATGAATTCGATTCCCAGATAGGACCAAAATATCCTCTCATCATCTCTAATCATTCAGTCATCCTCCGTCCATCCCTGCTCTCCGTAGCCAAGGTGGAGTTGTGAAGAAACTCGTCATACCCTTCTCGACTCTGGAGGCAATGGTGGGGCTATAGGGAGAACTCGGTATTACGATGCGCCGCTCTACCAACTTTCCGCAGCCGAAACGTGGTCGGTGGCAGACATAGACCAAATCCGGTGCTTCGACCAGGAAGACTGATACTTCTTGGTATTACTTGTTTTTCGAGAAAGGGCTACCAAAGGGTAGTTGGTGCTGGTTGAGTCGCGGATGTGTGTGAAAACTTTTTTGCTCTGTTTATATGCACGAAGGTGGAAAATCATGGATTTTAGCACAGAATAAATAACATTAATTTTTGTCGATGTTAGTCTGACTATAGGGTAAATCCTTCCCTCTCAGGTACTCTATAAATTACGTTTTTTAATGGAGTAGGTACGCATTAGGTAGGTATTTAAAAAACGTAACTTTTGTGTCTTGATACTGCAGTAGCCACTTATTACTATCAGATGGAATGTAAGTTCGTTTGTCACTCCAGTATTCTAAAAAAATTGTAATAAAACACTGTACCCCAACCGACTGACCTTGTCAAGTAGGTAAGAGAGTTACCTACATATTACATAAGTGTTATTTGAATTAAATTACAAATACTAATAATAACTCAATGAAATGTAATTCATGCTGTTATTATGCATTAAATATTTGTTATAATTCTACGCTTCACCTTCTTCAGTGTTCATTTGCAATTTCACAGCTGGCGGTCAAGGTCAAACCTTCATATTAAAAAAAATACGTTATCGCGTGTCTGGTCTAGAGTTTTTTTAACAACCTTCAAGTTCAAACGGTGCAGTTGTTATGACGTAGTCAACACAGGTAAAAAAAAAATTGTAAACAAAGTTAATTTTGTTTCCATGTTAACTCCGTTTTAAAGACTTATGTTTCCTTGTGTGTAAACTTTAGTTTAGTTAAATAAGCTTCTTATAAAGTTATATTGAGTTGTCCAACTAACCAACATTTGTAAAGAAATGGCCAAATAACTGTCTCTTTCTTTTTTTACTTAGGGAAATATTAACTAAACAACGTTCTACCTATATGATTATATTCACCACAACCTTATTACATGTATATAATAATACTGCGGTAATACTGGGTAATACAGAGTGGAGTATTAAATATACCGAATATAGCCCTCGAGTAAACAAATTAATAAGGAGACATTGTGAACGAATGAACTGTGTCGTTAGCGTCGCGTCGCCAGCCTCCTGCGGTGCGACGGCGCGGTGCCGGGCTTGAGGCGGGGGAGGCGGAGGGGGAGGGGAGTACGCTTGGTCGGACCGGCGTCGCTCACCTGACGACAGATCGGTCTCCTTCATAACTTCCGTCCAGGCCGCATCCTTGAGCTCCTGGTCGCGGTACTCGATGGCGGTGGTGTTCCACAGGCAGGGGTACTTGCGCACGGTCTCGATGAAGTGCTCCATGGCGTGCGGGCGCGGGCCTTACGGCGGCGGCGAGCGGCGGCGGACTGGCACTGGCAGCTCGGGCGAGACGCGAGACGCGAGACGGCGGCGAGCGGGCCCGCACGCCGCCGCGCGCCGGCCGCCGTGCCGCCCCCCGCCGCGCGCCCCGCGCCCCGCGCCCCGCATCGCCGTCGCCGCCGCCCGCCGGCGCCGCGCCGCACACCGCACGGCCTCAGGCAGCCGCACGCCGCCTCTAAGCAGTAGACACACACACCCTTGTTACATCGATATTTTAGTTTAGTAGTGGCCGAGAAAACACAACGGAATATAGAGAGAAAGTACATTAAACATCCATTGTTTTTCAAAATAGGAATGATCGCATTCAAAGATTATCTAAAAATCTTACCTGAGACTGTTTTATTGAAATAATCGATAGAGTCTATGATAGAGATATAATCTCTCGCATAAACATTGCATCTTGCAATTAAAGAACACCATGAAATTTAACAATTCGTAAGTACATAACGAATTATAAATAAGTATGGTATCTACCTATTGCGATAAATACAAAAGTTAACTAAACCACAGAATAAATAAACTAAACTTAGGTAACCAACCAATAGCTAGGTACATCTACCATTAAAGAAATTACGTGAATTAGACTATACTGAAAACTCTTAGCTAAGTTTTTATAATTAATTCATTAGGTAATATCTAGATACCGTATATATATATCGGGCAACAAACTATGTATTAGATACCGTTGCAGTATAGCGTCACTTTATAGAAAATCTTACATCAAACTCGAAGAAATAATAACATAAAATATTAATGATATGATTCAAAATTCGAACGAACCCAGAGCGCACGAAAGAATTCCAGATATTTTTGGCTACTCTTTGAAAAATAACACTGTATAGATTCAATATCAGATATTCAAATCCAATACATAGATACGATTTACATAGGGTAAGAGTGGTATTATTGCCTGCGTTATTTGTAACATTGAAGAAGTAATATGCTTTTTTTTTTAAATATATACCTATATAATGTGGGGTGCGACGCAAACGAGCATGCGGCTCACCTGAGGTGAGTAACTACCGCCGCACATGAACTACTCGAACGCCAGGGGAATTGGATATGCATTGCCGGCCTTTTAAAATAGAGAGTTGACTCTTTTTTTTCTTGATGTACTACCATAGAATAAAATAACAGTACTACGTATTAGACTACTAGAACAGATACAGCGAACACAATCTGTAGTGGACCTTTTTATTGAACTGACTAATTTTGAGCCCGTGGGCTCTAACGCGTGTTGCAAACAATTAACCGACTCTCCCCGTCTCTTTATATTCTAGTACTTAATATTATTGTGTTAGTACATATTACTTCAATAATTTATAACGACCCTGTTAGGCTCGTAACAGATCTTTGATTTCTTTACTGGGATGCATTTCTATGTCACAAAACAAATCAAACAAATCAAACCTAGAGTATAGAGTTACAAACTCTATACCGGTAGCACACGTGTTGCACACAACGCACCGTGACGTGCAAGTATCTACTGCTATCGTGCTCACGCTCACATATATTTTTTTTGTACGTGCGATCGAATTCTGCATGTAATTTGCAAATATAGAAACCAAACCTAATAACAGTACTCATACCATAAAATTTCCCCTGAATGTGCTTAATTAATAAATCTATGAAACTAAACGTTAATACATTCAATAAAAAATAACTACAATTTATGTTATTCTGACAACTTCCGATATTTAAGTTGATACGATCGCAATAATAAAGTTTTGATTTTTTTTTTTACTTTTATTATTTAATCCTTATATGATCAACTGAATGTATTTTTGACGGATTAACTACATTTTGTATGCTACGATGCCACTTTTTAATTTACTCCAAACGATACATCAACTCGTAGTATATTATAAAGAGAGATTGAGTTTATAATGATTGTATGCGTGGTAATGGTTCGGCTCGACCACAGAATGACCTCACAAAATACCAGCGTAAAATAGAAATTTTTAATACTGAACTGGAGACCCTTTTTACTGGAAACGTGGCAGAGGAAAATGTAGATGTAAATGGGTCATAACCACGTTATGATGACATCCACTTTCCATAAAGTGGACTGTGTGCTCGTTTGTCACCCTTATTCTACCTATAAAAAAAAAACTGTTGACTGTGAATATAGGAGGTACTTACTTGTTATTTCCTAACGAATACTCCATCGTTTACTGACAGTGAGTCTGAATTGGATGCAAAAATAATATGGCAAATTATTAACTTTGTTGGGATTTGATTAGGCTAGACTCAGCGAACTTATTACCTACTAACCAACACTTATTCACCCCGACTGAATGATATTTTTTTTTCAAATAAGGATTTTAATTGTCTTTTGAAAATAGAAAAGTTTAATTCTATGAACTTTTTAATATAACTATTCTTAATATAACTAAAACGCTTCTTTCATTTGATGAAAAAGAATATAATAAAAAACAAAATCAAATGTTCTTACATTCTTTACTGTACAATGTCTATAATGAAAGCTTTAAATTGTAAATCTAATATTATTACTTTAATGTCGGACCCGACAACAAAGTTGTATTTACTTCTTGTTAAATTAGTCGTTACATTACTTCGAATTAGAATTCTAGACAAAAAACAGTTATTAGCAATTTCTCGATTACAGCAACATTGTTTAATTTCACATCTACTAAAACAATAAAAGTAGATAAACATAAATCTAGTTTATGACAAAAGAAAGTTTTACAAGGTAATCATTTAGCACAACTTTTTCTATTATGCCCCCACTCCCCGTAGGACGCCGCTTTCGCGTCGAACGCTGCCTCAAGAAAACATCCGAATAAAGAAATTCGTAGATCTTTCCCAGGAAGTTTCATTTCCGACTCCCACGTAGAACATTTTTATATTTTCCAACTTTTAAAAATATATGTTTTATGTATCAATTTGCTAGATAGGTGTAGACCAGAGTACAGATTTACTATTTGGTAAATTTTCCGCATCATTTATTCTCTATACGATTACCTTGGTTGAAACGAAAATAAGGTAATGTAAATTTCTATTACAAAATTCCGACTAATCCATAAATTTATAACCATTTATTACCCATTATTAGGTTTGTCAAACATGAATGTCATCAGCGTAGAAAATGAAATGTTGTAATGTGAGATTCGAAATATTATGTTGATATGAAATGAAACGTATCTGTTTGATTAGAGTAATGAGGGAAAATAATGTTTGTCGGATGGCGGACTGGCGGGTAATGGATGCCGCCACCCTCGCAATTACATGGAAGCGAACAAACATGGACGCTTCGCGCACACGTCACGCTTGTGCCGATAATGTTCTTCATAGAGGTCTATAAATAGCGCTCGATGATCGATGTTATTGTTGTCACGACAACTGCCTGCTTCTTGTTCTTTTTGTTCCATTTCATTTCTGTTTTGCAAGTCAGGAGCTACCTTAGAATATAAGTACCTACATAAACATAGCTTTCTTATGTATATTCTTAGCGATACCGATAAATTAGGGACACAAGGGTGTAGCAAGCAATATTATACACATTTCATTATACAACACCGCTAATTTAATAAAAACAAAATTATAATTCGTTGTAATATTAGGCCCCGTACCTACCTACTTTAATTTGATTTATCTTGTTACTTATTCATCATGTGTTTTTCCACTTCTAGTGTCATCCACTTCACCATAAAGTTGTGACTTCACAAATTGGTATCAAAACCAGAATTTGCAAAAGAATTGTCTTATCGAAAAATAAAACGGTGATGTACATTCCGTAAATTTTAGGAACAAGCACATGTTAGTCATACCAGTTAGTCGACTCCAAAGAGTCAATAATTCCTTCCTGGGGCAATGTATGACGCTATTACAACTGAGCTCCAGAAAATATACAGGACTTATCTATCAAAAAGTCCAAAATATTTACTAAGCAAAAGTTGTTTAGTACGAGTTATTATACTACTAAAGAGTACATGAATGATAATGACCCCTGGGAATGAGATGATCGCTACCATGCTACTTCTAAATGTTTTATACTAATTGTATTAATTATTATATTGTATTTTTTTTAAAAAGGTCCGCTGGGTTTCTTGCTTTTTCTTCCGAGAACAGAGGTTTCTTCCGAACCAGGGGTAAAGCTTAAATACTTACCACAAGTATTCTTTTAACATATTGAATAAAAATAATTATATTCCATAAAAAAGCAGTTACAGGTGACAGGTGCACTAAACGCAAAATTCTAGTTTTCTAAAAAAACTTCCTGGAAGCACGTGTGATAATGGTTTAACAAAAAAAATACATACTTATGAGTCAATTTAGACGTCGCTCGCAAAAACAAAAGGATGGTGTATTTCCGTGCGCCTGGGAACTAACTTCCCAATGCGTTCGCAGCGCTGTTGCTTGGCGCATCGTACTCCGCAATTTCCGACTTCGTGCACGACGGTTTCGTACTGATTTAGGGTTACCCGATCAAAAATATAAAAGTCCTGACAAATAACCTGATTTCTGTTGAATAATCCTGACATATTGTGACTTGCAAACGTGATTAACTACTGTGGATCACTATTCACACGACCAATTCATGTCGCAGCTTTCATCCCTCCCACGTAAAATATCTACTGTATTTTATGGAAGTATTGAAAAAGCCTATTTCTATTTTCGACCGCAATCCAAAAGTCCAAAAGTCCTGACATGTCAGGACAAATCCTGACATATGGTATCTCTATACTCACCAAGACCGCTTCCAATATCCTTTACTCAAATTCAAACGTCTAGTATCATTGGACTTGATGTATCATCGTTCGGAGATACCATTCTAATCAGAGAGCCAATCAAGTATTTTTAAAATACTGGTTGGTTTATGTTGTAAAAAGTTTTCATGAGTTTTAGAGCACAGATGAAACAAAGTTTAAAACAGCTTTATATAATATCTACCTGCTTAGGGTCTTAGGTTAGGTATATTT